GTTTTGCACTACTTTCGGATGAAGTGGTTTCATTCGATGACTCTGTTGTTACGTCACTTGGAGTTTTGGTCGTCTGTTCCGTCACTTGTCCTCGTGTTGTACCAATTGGAATATATGTGGTTGTTGGGAGAGTAGTTTCCATTATTGGGGGGCCAACGGTAGATCTATCAACAAACTTTGTAGTTGTTACTTCTCTGGAAGATTCTGTCGTTAGTTCAGTTTCTCGTCCAGAGGTTGTAACCGGAGGTAATGTCGTCGGTTCACTCATTCGACTAGGGGTTGTACCCCGAGGTAATGTCGTCGGTTTTTCGCTACTTTCGGAAGGAGTGGTTCTATCCGTTGACTGTGTTGTTACGTCACTTGGAGTTTTGGTCTTCTGTTCCGTCACATGCCCATGTGTTGTACCAATTGCAATATATGTGGTTGTTTCGGAAGTGATTGTTGGGACAGTAGTTTCTATTATTGGTGGACTATGAGTTGATCTATCAACAAGCTTTGTAGTTGGTTCTTCTCGAGAAGATTCTGTCGTTGGTTGAGTCGTTCGTCCTGGGGTTGTACCCCGAGGTAATGTCGTCGGTTTTTCGCTACTTTCGGATGAAGTGGTTCCATCCGTTGACTCTGTTATTACGCCGCTAGGAGTTTTGGTCGTCTGTTCCGTCACTTGGCCTCGTGTTGTACCGATTGGAATATATGTGGTTGTTTCCGAAGTGATTGTTGGGACAGTAGTTTCTATTACTGGTGGACTAATAGTTGATCTATCAACAAGCTTTGTAGTTGGTTCTTCTCGAGAAGATTCTGTCGTTGGTTGAGTCGTTCGTCCTGGGGTTGTACCCGGAGGCAATGTCGTCGGTTTTTCGCTACTTTCGGATGGAGTGGTTCTATCCGTTGACTCTGTTGTTACGTCGCTTGGAGTTTTGGTCGTCTGTTCCGTCACTTGTCCTCGTGTTGTACCAATTGGAATATATGTGGTTGTTTCGGTAGTGATTGTTGGGAGAGTAGTTTCTATTATTGGTGGACTAAGAGTTGATCTATCAACAAGCTTTGTAGTTGGTTCTTCTCGAGAAGATTCTGTCGTTGGTTCAGTCGTTCGTCCTGGGGTTGTACCCGGAGGCAATGTCGTCGGTTTTTCGCTACTTTCGGATGGAGTGGTTCCATCCGTTGACTCTGTTGTTACGTCACTTGGAGTTTTGGTCTTCTGTTCCGTCACTTGCTCATGTGTTGTACCAATTGGAATAAATGTGGTTGTTTCGGAAGTGATTGTTGGGACAGTAGTTTCTATTATTGGTGGACTAAGAGTTGATCTATCAACAAGCTTTGTAGTTGGTTCTTCTCGAGAAGATTCTGTCGTTGGTTGAGTCGTTCGTCCTGGGGTTGTACCCGGAGGCAATGTCGTCGCTTTTTCGCTGCTTTCGTATGGAGTGGTGCTATCCGTTGACTCTGTTATTACGCCGCTTGGAGTTTTGGTCGTCTGCTCCGTCACTTGTCCTCGTGTTGTACCAATTGGAATATATGTGGTTGTTTCGGTAGTGATTGTTGGGACAGTAGTTTCTAGTATTGGTGGACTAAGAGTTGATATATCAACAAGCTTTGTAGTTGGTTCTTCTCGAGAAGATTCTGTCGTTGGTTCAGTCGTTCGTCCTGGGGTTGTACTCGGAGGCAATGTCGTCGGTTTTTCGCTACTTTCGGATGGAGTGGTTCCATCCGTTGACTCTGTTATTACGCCGCTAGGAGTTTTGGTCGTCTGTTCCGTCACTTGTCCTCGTGTTGTACCAATTGGAATATATGTGGTTGTTTCGGGAGTGATTGTTGGGAGAGTAGTTTTTATTATTGGTGGGCCTAGGGTAGATCTATCAACAAGCTTTGTAGTTGTTTCTTCTCGAGAAGATTCTGTCGTTGGTTCAGTCGTTCGTCCTGGGGTTGTACCCGGAGGCCATGTCGTCGGTTTTTCGCTACTTTCGGATGGAGTGGTTCCATCCGTTGACTCTGTTATTACGCCGCTTGTAGTTTTGGTCGTCTGTTCCGTCACTTGTCCGCGTGTTGTACCAATTGGAATATATGTGGTTGTTTCGGTAGTGATTGTTGGGAGAGTAGTTTCTAGTATTGGTGGACTAAGAGTTGATCTATCAACAAGCTTTGTAGTTGGTTCTTCTCGAGAAGATTCTGTCGTTGGTTCAGTCGTTCGTCCTGGGGTTGTACCCGGAGGCAATGTCGTCGGTTTTTCGCTACTTTCGGATGGAGTGGTTCCATCCGTTGACTCTGTTATTACGCCGCTTGGAGTTTTGGTCGTCTGCTCCGTCACTTGTCCTCGTGTTGTACCAATTGGAATATATGTGGTTGTTTCGGTAGTGATTGTTGGGACAGTAGTTTCTATTATTGGTGGACTAAGTGTTGATCTATCAACAAGCTTTGTAGTTGGTTCTCTGGAAGATTGTGTCGTTGGTTCAGTCGTTCGTCCTGGGGTTGTACCCGGAGGCAATGTCGTCGGTTTTTCGCTACTTTCGGATGGAGTGGTTCCATCCGTTGACTCTGTTGTTACGTCACTTGGAGTTTTGGTCTTCTGTTCCGTCACATGCCCATGTGTTGTACCAATTGGAATATATGTGGTTGTTTCGGAAGTGATTGTTGGGACAGTAGTTTCTATTATTGGTGGACTAAGAGTTGATCTACCAACAAGCATTGTAGTTGGTTCTTCTCGAGAAGATTGTGTCGTTGGTTCAGTCGTTGGTTCAGTCGTTCGTCCTGGGGTTGTACCCGTTGACTCCGTTGACTCTGTTATTACGCCGCTTGGAGTTTTGGTCGTCTGTTCCGTCACTTGTCCTCGTGTTGTACCAATTGGAATATATGTGGTTGTTTCGGTAGTGATTGTTGGGAGAGTAGTTTCTATTATTGGTGGACTAAGAGTTGATCTATCAACAAGCTTTGTAGTTGGTTCTTCTCGAGAAGATTCTGTCGTTGGTTCAGTCGTTCGTCCTGGGGTTGTACCCGGAGGCAAAGTCGTCGGTTTTTCGCTACTTTCGGATGGAGTGGTTCCATCCGTTGACTCTGTTATTACGCCGCTAGGAGTTTTGGTCGACTGTTCCGTCACTTGTCTTCGTGTTGTATCAATTGAAATATATGTGGTTGTTTCGGAAGTGATTGTTGGGTGAGTAGTTTGCGTTATTGGTGGGCCAAGGGTAGATCTATCAACAAGCTTTGTAGTTGGTACTTCTCTGGAAGATTCTGTCGTTAGTTCAGTTTCTCGACCAGAGGTTGTAACCGGAGGTAATGTCGTCGGTTCACTCATTCGACCAGGGGTTGTACCCCGAGGTAATGTCGTCGGTTTTTCGCTACTTTCGCTTGGTGTTTTGGTCGTCTGTTCCGTCACTTGCCCACGTGTTGTACCAATTGGAAGATTAGTGGTAATTTGGTCTGTTATTGTAGGGACATTTGTTTCTAAAGATGCTGGACTTAGAGTAGAACGTTCAACAAGCCCTGTCGTTGGTTCTTGTCTAGTAGATTCGGTCGTTTGTGTAGTCATTTCTAGTTCAGGAAGTGCAGTTTTATCAATTTCAGGGTGAGGATATTTAGTATCAATTGACAGTTGTTTTGTCGTCTTATACGATTCGGTTGTACTTGTGTAAGAAACCGTTGTTTCATTTTCAGCTTCTATATCGGTAAAGCGAGTTCGCATTTCAGTTTGATTTGCCAGTTGCATAACAGTATATTTTATATTGAGCGAGTCTGTCGTCGTTTCAAATTTTTGGGTTGTACTGTCAACTGATTCTGTTGGAATGCAGTTCGAGTCCGTCGTGTTCGCAAAGGTAGTTGGGCAAATACATATGTTTACCCTATGAGCTGATGTGACACACTTTACTGCGCCCGCACAGAAGGTGTGACAGGGATCGATACATTGACCTGACGATCCACATTGGTGCTCTTCACTGCAATCATCGTTTGAGGTACAGTTGCCAACTGGCTTAGCTGCTTCAAATTTTCATTTTTGGGTGATTTTTTTTACGTATTTTTGTGATATTTGAGTGGAGTATTTATACATTTTTTTAAATAAAAGTGTAAGATTTAAAAATAAAAAATACGTTAATATATTTACAAATATATACCAAATATAGGATAGAAGGTGTAAAGCTACAACAATAGGGAAGGTGCACTATATACATATACAGAGGGGCGTACCTAAAAAAAATACTGTTGGATATTTCGATCTAACTCTCTTGCATACGACTGCAAATGTAAACAAATATCTGAAGCTTTTTAAACTATTTTACGGTTAATCAATTTTAAATTAGGAACGAACGCCTTTACTATTAGTTAGCTACATATTGGTGTTGGATTGGTTTAGGTTTACCATTAGTATTCATCTTATTACCGTTTATTTAGAATCATAGGTTAAGATTTCATAGTACAAGTATTCAGGAGGCTTTTGATTAATAAATTGATTATTATCACTGTGAGCATGAGCGTGTGTGAATGTTCAGAAGAGTTTTCTTGTAATTGTGTCTTTATGTTATTGGTATTTTTGTTTGGTGACTTTAAAAGATCTTCTGATCAATGTTTGGACAACTCTTTTTATTATGTGCTTTACTTACACACTGTGCAAGTGGCGTAAAGCATCTGACCGTGGGGTTATAAAGTCCCTTGACTTGGACTTTTGGGTTGTAACTAAGCTTTGGGAAGGCAAGTTGACCATATCAAAAGCTTGATACGGCTAGAGGCAGTTAATTTCTCAGACCTATATACATTTACAATAACATTTCGAGGAAACAGATTGACAAGACCAGAAACATTAGACAGGAATGAAGGTTTGTCGTCAATATATTTCGTCGGAAACATTTGTTTGTGCTTTATCGCTGTTTTCTTTTTGTGAGGGGACAGACAATAAGACATAGCTAGCAAAAGGTGAGAGCGTGTGTGAAAGAGCAGGAAACAGAGATAATCGAGACAGAACATAAGGCACTTTCACTCGACAGAGAATTGAGTGATAGAGAGTACGTTTGGTGCTTTACCTTTTTGACATCCATTCTTGGCATCGGCTATAAATCCAGCTGGGCAGAATTTACATATCGGCTTGTGATCCTCGACAATGCATGGCGAGTTGGGTGCGCACGTGGCAAACTCGCACGGATCGATGCACTTAAGCTTCCGGCATGCCTGGCTAGCCGGACAGCCGGCGTCGCGCAGGCAAATAGATATTGATGGCTGGCAGTCGCGCATGCAAATGCAAACGGGCTTGTGGTTCTGTACCTCGCAGGATTTGTTTTCTGCACAAATTGCGGCACGGCCCAAAGGAACGATGCACGGGTTACGGCACTTGCCATCCGTGCAGGCCATATTCGAGGCACAGTCGTCATCGCGATAGCACTCCCTCTTGTCGGGGGCACACGTCAGTTCCCCGTATTCATTCACTATGAAACCAGACTTGCAGATACAGACCGGCTGGTGACGTCGCGTCTCGCACTTCTTGTTGCTCTCGCAGATAAATAGCGGATTGTTGCACGGATCTGTGCATTGGCCGTACTGTCCGCACTGCAATGTCTCCGGGCACTCGGAGTCTGCGGAACATGGAATCTGCTCCTTGGTCTTGGCATCCGTGTCGTCCGGCAGGCACTTGGGATCGGGCTTGCACTCGACCTCCGGCCGACCGATGTGACAACTGGGGCAGGAGCAGCGCGGACGATGAAGTACGGTTTTGCAGAGCGCATTCAAACCACACACGCCACGCATTGTACAAGGATCGCTGCAGTGTCCTTGGAGGCATGACTTTTCACTGGGACAATCCGTATCTGAGTAGCATTGTTCGGTGTCTATAAAATTACATCCAGGGCAGGGAAGAACGAGAGAGAGATAGACAGGAGTTGTTTGGTTGTTTAAATGTTAATCGTTGGTGGGTGCATTCAACTATTCGGTGGCATAAACGGTACGGTACGCTACTAAATAGATATATCTTTTTGGGGGGTATGGAAACACATAAAAACGAAAGTGCGACATTGAAATCGTCGAGTCAAAGTTGGGGCTTGAGCGTGATAGACGATAGTCTGGTGGAAGATTCAGGGCTGATTGAGGTATTTGCATTTGACAGTGTAAACACAAAAAATAAGAATCAAGAGTGGGGGGTGACTCGGATAAGACTTATAGCTAGATGTTTCTAAAAACAAAAGGGGAAACTTAATCGAGACAATATATAAGAAATATATTCCAGTTTTTGGTTGGTTGGTTTTGATTTGGGCCTCTTTTTGCTTAAGTGTTTTGTGTATTTTCTTGGTGTTTGGGTGGGGGGTTGTGTGTTTTCCGGTGGGTCGGTTTTTGTGTTCAATTAAGTGTCAGTGGGATTGTTGTGGACTCGATTTTGGGGTTTTGGGGTATTGTGCATGGGGTATGTTAGAGTAAAAGAAAATTTTAGCGGGGATTTTTAACAAGTTAAGATCAGAAACGGTGCATTTAGAAATCATAAGGCAACGTAATAAAAATAAAATAAAAAACAAAATTGGTTGTTTCACTTAAGTGGCTAACTTTAGTCGATTGGTGCAGTTAGATTAGGCAGCAAACTAAAGCAAGAGTTGATTATTTATTTGTTTGTCTTATTCAAATTGCAGAACTGTGAAGGGAACATCTCACAAAAACTAGGGTTATATGTTTTTATGGGCAGACCAAAACAATGCTTATCAATAAAGTTGTCTGCTTTTGGTTTTTGTCATTGGTTTGTATGAGTTCGATATGCTATAGATCGGCGTACAAGTGAGCGAGTGATGGTAGCAGTGAGTACAAGTGAGCATAGTTACAATCCTTGATGATTTACCATTTTTTCGAGCGAGCATAGAGCAGGGGAGCCTAGCACTATCCCAGTTTGCCCAATTAATTTGATGCTGTACTAAAGGCAGGCTTAGTTGAGCAATGAATTATCTCGGGATTAATGCGAATTCGAACTAATAAATATTTTGGTTTATTGTTTGTTCAGTTTGAGTTATGGCAAAAATTACACGACATCCAACACATGCGCTCTGCCCTCACGCGAGACACGCTATTGGCGATTGGTTTTGTGAGTGAGTGATTGATTCAGAGGAGAGAAAGAAAAAGATCTATTGGAAAATTAGAAAATGTAAGTACAAGTCTGGCAAAGACAGAATTAGCTTTGTAGGAAGAGGCTTTAGTAAGAATGTATAGAAAGAAACAGTATTTGAAAATCGATGGGTAAATACAATTTTGAAAAGTTTGATAAAAATATACGTGGCTAGTTTGATTCCTCCGGGTTATTAATAATTCACATTTTTCAAATTTAGTTTATATTTACAGATTGTTTTTGGTGTTGTTAGTTTGATCGGTCACATAGGTGTGGCTTAATCGTTTACGAATATATGTACAATATGTACAATTTTCTGTATATACAACTTAATTACTAGTCAAATGTACCAAAAATAATTGAAATGTTAGTTAAATTTAGTTACAATTTAAATCAATTCGGGTTTTGGTTCATATAGAGTTTAACCATTAGACGATCTATTTAGAGTGGTAGATAGGGAGGAGCTTTCTTAATATGTATTTTAAAAGGAGCTTTGTACATAATAAACGGTTGGATTTATTTCGGTTATACAGTAGACTTGCTTTAAGGATGCATTGAAAAGTAGTAGTAGCTGTTGATGTTGCTTTTGTTTTGGTAATCGTTTTGTACACAGTTGTAATGGATCTTAACTTGATAACTATGTTCCTCAATTGGTTTCAAATTTTGTTTCAAGCATATGTGAACTATGTGTGAGAATTGTCCCGTCCACAGTTCCCAATCTGAGACTTTGTTCATTCAAGAAATGTAACAAAAGGGTATTAGCAAAAGGAAACGACAGAGCGATAGGGAAATAACACTTGGGGTACAAAGGGGTGGACAGAGCGGAATCGGAGGAAGGATGGGAGTTTTCGGGTTGGGATTCGATCATTTTCAGTATCAAGGATGTGTTGAGGATTGTTGTCTATATGATAAGCGTGGCATTTTGTGTTTTTTTATTGGTTTAGTTATAATTTGTGTGCTTTCCTTGCACTTTCTGTGATTAACCATTTTTTTTTATTTTTCGCTACAATTTTATTGACTACATATCGCTATCGCGGCGTTTGTCGTTAGACTATGTAAATGTTAAATAGGGATGAGACAACTTGTTTACTGATCTGTGCGTTAACTGTTTCCAAGTTGTAATGGATGCCGCATAGTTGAGCGCCAATACAGATGGTTATAAAAAGCCAATTGTATGGAAACTAAAGAAGGAATTCAATGAGAATTGAGTTGAGCATAGCTTTATGAAAGCCAAATGAAATGAGAAGGCAAGCCCAAGCTTTATGGGAACTAATGTCAACTCTTTAGATTTTTTTTTAAGGAATGCACGATTGTGAATGTTATTTTTAGTAAGGTATTTTAAATTTGCTTATGACTAAACTTAATTTTGTTGCATAATTATTATTTTTGTCTTTTTGAATGCATATTTCAAAAATGAAGTGTAGGCACAGATTGGGTAACCGCGATAGCGACAGCAACATTCCACGAATTTCCATATGCGTTGATGGTGTATTGTAAAGTAAGGTGCTTAAAAACTAGAAAAACTCAAATAAAAACTAACAAAAATTGCATAGAAAAAAAAGTGCTCTGAATTATATTCATCGGCATGTCTGCTGCTTAACAAGCAACTCAGTTGCCAATTGGGAATTGGTTGTGTAGGTGGCTTTTGGTTTCTTAGCGTGTTTTTTGTACGTGCGGGGAAATTCGATATTAGACTTATACCTGAAACTTCGCACATGTGTATAGGTTGTTACGAAAAAATTAAAAATGTGTGTTACGAATAACGTATTAGCTTTGGTATTTTAAACACAGACACACTACACTGAAATCAAATTTGTTTTGGGTAAATGTTCTAAGCAGCCGCAAGGGCCGTTAAATTAGTGGAATTAGCTAATTAGCTGTTTTAAGTTTTTGTGTTTTAGCAACTCAAAACTATGTAATTAAACCGAAAAAATAATAACAATAAAATCAATTTCAATCAGTTACTAACAAACTTCCAGTTATGTTGGTAGGGGTAAAAACTTCAACGGTAACGCTTACTGATTACAATAACGATAACTTTTAAGAACGCTGGTTAACATGATTAGCAATAACGGTACGGTATGGTCTAAAACACTTGGAATGTAAACATTATATTGCCACTTACCCTGCTGACAGACATATTCATAGCCCTGGCGTACACAGTCTCCCACTTCACATCCTTGGGTTCGACAATCCTGCTTTGGCAGAGTCAAATAACCTGTATTACATCATAAAGAATTAATTTTTTTTTCAAAATATCATCACATATTTATCACACTTACATTGCACATAAGCATCTCCGTTGGGGAAGTCTTCCGGGCAGTAGCACTCGGCTTGGTTGTTGTCCAGCACATGACATGCAGCGTTCAAGCCACAAGGCTGATCGTGGCAGGCATTCACTAGCGGTCCTCCGCAGAGACATCCCTGATGGGCATCTCCAATGCACCCATCCATGCAGGCGCACTCATAGCCTCCGGGCACCTCAGTGCACTTGGAGTTATCGCCACAGGGTTTGCTAGAGCATCCTCCTTCCAATGGTCGGCACTCGCTAGTTGGATTGCCGAAGAAGTCCGGCGGGCAGGAGCACTGAGCCTTGCGACCCACCACCCGACACTGGGCATTGGTTCCACACGCTCCATACTCCAGACAGGGATTTCGGCATTTTCCTTGGTCGCAGCGCTTGTTGCTGTCGCAATCGGTGTCCACACGGCACTCAAACTGCACGCACTCCTTACTGGGCTCGCCCTCGTATCCATCCGGGCAGTAGCAGAGCATCCGGTGTTCGGACACGGTACAGAGCGCATTTCTTCCGCAAGCCTTGTCGTTCGCACATGGATCCGAGCACTTTCCATTGACACAACTTTGGTCGGCAGCACAATCTCCATTCGACTTGCATCCAGCGATACAAGCTCCTCGCTCGCAAAGCTGACCAACCGTACATTGACGCTTGGGTCCGCACTTATTCCGGCACTTTCCTCTGGCACACTGTTGTCCGCAGGCGCAGTCCTCGGTCCTTGAGCACTTTGTGGCACAATAGGCTTGGTCCTCATCGCATTCGCAGCCGGGATGACAACGTTCAGGCGGCAGTTGGCAGCCAGTCAGACCGTCTCCCATAAAGGCAGCGGGGCACTGGCATTGAACTCCGTGATTAACCACCAGGCAGTCAGCGCACTGTCCACATTGACCCGGGGTGCGACATGGGTTCTGGCACTTCTTGTTCACGCAGGCCTCGTCGGTGGCACAACTCAAATCCGTACGACATCCAGTCTGGCACATGCGATTCTCGCATATTTGTCCCTGGGCGCATGCCTCATCCGTGTTGCATACGGTCCTACAAGTTCCCCTCATGCAACGCTCATCTGCCAGGCAGTTCTGATCGTTTCTGCACTTTCCTTGGCAGCTGCCTGCGTAGCAGAGCTGATTTGTTTGACAATCATCGTTTCTTCCACAAGCAACGCGCGGCACTTTGCAGGCCACATTGGCATTTCCATCAAGTCCCTCCGGGCATTGGCACTGTTTCCTGTGATCGATCGTCTGGCAGTGCGCATTGGTGCCACAGGCAGTTGGATCGGCACATGGATCCACGCACTGTTGACCCACGCAGGACAAGTCCTGGGGGCAGCCCTGATCGGAACGGCAGCCAGGCATACAATTCAGGCCCAGACAGAGCTCTCCATGACCGCACTCATTGTCGTGGCGGCACAGGGGTTTGCATACTCCCTGCTGGCAGCGCTCGTTGGTCAGACAACCGGCATCATCGGCACACAGAGGTCGGCAGAACGACTCGAAGCAGGCCAATCCATTTCCACAGTCGCGATTCTCGCGGCATTCCAAGGGGGGAGAACGGACGCAGCCCACCTGGGGCGTGGGATTGGGCACCATGCTTTCCATGCAGCTGCAGCTGGCCCGGTGGTTGGACACCGAACAGGCGGCATTGGGACCACAGGGATTCTCCAGACACGGGTTCACGCACTTATCATTGCGGCAGGACTCTGAGGCACTGCAGTCATCATCCACATGGCAGCCGTAGACGCACTTGTTGTGCAGGCAAACGTGACCCAGGAAGCAATCGTTGTCCACACGACAGGTCACTAAGGTAGATAAATTTTTATTAGGAGCCGTTACTTATATAGGGAAAAACAAGCGTTTATTAATCATTGGATAATTCTGATGGTATTTAATCTAATTCTAATCTTGAATAATCTTTTTCAGAATTGACCATCGAAAAATACAAATTATTTAACCAAGAAACATCACAGTGGAGGCCAAGTTGTTTCGGCCAGATCACTTACGCATGCAGTTGCCCTTTAGGCACTTCTCGTTGGAGGCGCACTCCAGGTCGTTGTGGCACACAGGTAGGCACATAGAGTCACGGCAGGTGTATCCAGGTCCACATTCACCATCGCAGGCCACCGGCACACGCACGCACTCCTTGGCAGAGTCACCGGTGAAGCCCTCCGGGCAATGGCACTGTTTCAGATGGTTCTGGATCACGCACTCGGCGTTCTGTCCACAGGCCTGCGGTTGCAGGCAGGGATTGAAGCATTGACCACCTTGACACACCTCTGATGCTCCACATTCGGTGTCCAGTACACAAGCAGCTGTTAAGGAAAAAATTACAGTTTCATTATATTACTCTTAAAAGATTACAAATATATCCCGGTTGGTGTAACGGTCAGCTTTGTTCGTGGCGTGTAGTCATATGTGTAACTTGTATTTTCATTATACCCGTTACTCGTAGAGTAAAAGGGTATATTGTATTCGTGCAAAAGTATGTAACAGCTAGAAGGAAGCGTTTCCGACCCTATAAAGTATATATATTCTTGATCAGGATCACTAGCCGAGTCGATCTAGCCATGTCCGTCTGTCCGTCTGTCTGTCCGTCTGTCCGTCTGTCCGTCTGTCCGTCTGTCCGTCTGTCTGTCCGTATGAACGCTGAGATCTCGGAAACTATAAAAGCTAGAAGATTGGCATTTTACATGTAGATTTTAGGAGTTCCTACGCAGCGCAAGTTTGTTTCAAAAAGGTGCCACGCCCCCTTTAACGCCCACAATCGCTTATATACGATTTTAAAAATTTAAATATTTCGGAAAAGTAAAAATGCAGTTTTATTGTGTTTATCAATACCTATCGAAATGTAGAAGAAATTTTTCAAATCGGACCATTCGTTAAAAAGTTATGCGTGATCAAAGTTTCTATCTCCATCTCCCTCGCACTCCCTTCACCTGAGTAACGGGTATCTGATAGTCGGGGCACCCGACTATAGCGTTCTCTCTTGTTTTAGTTTGCAGTTAGTCTAAATTATAGGATAGCATTTGGTTTAGTTCGTAGGCTGTAAGCCTGTCCAAGGTTGTAGTGGTAGTTCTTTTGAGATGTTGTAGCGATTTTTTCAGTAGGAATAATATTTTACTAGTTGGAAACTTCGTAGATTATTCAATTTATGGAACAAATTAAACATAACGGAAATTTATGCAACGCGAATCGAGTTTAAAAACCAGTAACTGATAAAAAAATAAAAACTATATACATTTAAGCTAGCTGGTTCTGTCAAAATATATGACGTAATTGATTTTCAATATAACTTTGAAAACTATGTATGTTTATCATTTATGTGGCTTCATACACATGATTATATTAAGTACTCTTGTGCCACAACATCTCCGGTAAGTGAATCAGTGCTAGTTTGTAAGTAAGTAAGTAGAACTAAGAAGGTGGTTATAAGGTAAATTAGCCAATTTACGTTGTCTGGTAGTCGGTTTAGGCCCGGTGCTGGGTGGCTGTTAGTACTTACGTTTGCAGACGCTATCCGAGCAGTAGGTGTTGGTCGGACAGTCGCCGGTAACCTGACAGGGAACGGGCAGCGGCTTACAGCCGGCCACCCGGTCGGCGGGTTGGCCATCGTAGCCGCTGCGGCATGCACACTGCGCTACATGGCCCTTCGGAACACATTCCGCATTGGGGCCACATTGCAGCTGGGCACAGACATCGCGGCACTTGGCCACCCCATTTGTTTTGGTGCATGCGGCATGCGGGGGACAGTCCTCGTTGGTCTCGCACTCGACGGAGCTGCGACAGCCCTCGTTGTACGGATCACCAACGAGTCCCGGAGGACAGGTGCACTTGTACGACCCCCTCGCGTTTCGGCAACGAGCTCCGGGTCCGCACGGAGCATCACGGCAAAAGTCTATAACATCGCAACGCACCCGCGGATCCCCACTGAATCCTGGTTGGCAGTGGCACACCTGCTGGTGATGCTCGGTGGTGCAGAGGGCATTCTCTCCGCACGGTTGTCCGATGAGGCAGGCAATCTTGCACATGTGGTTGTCGCAGCTCTTGTCATTCGAACAATCATCGTCGCTGCTGCACTCGATCTTACGGCATCCGGACTTGGCGTCCCCGAAGAATCCCTCCTTGCAGAGGCAATCGGGAGCATGGGAACGGGCCACACACTCGGCATTCCTGCCACAGGCAGCGCGACCCAGGCACACGGACTCACACTTTGCTCGTCCATAGGCATCACTTAGACAGGTTTCATCCTCGCCACACTCTGCATCAGCTCGGCACTCCAGCTCCTTGGTGCAAATGTTATTCAAGCAGAACTGGAACTGCGGACACGTGGAGTTTGATTTACACGTTCCCTGACATACGCCCTGCAAGCACAACTGTTCCGAGATGCAATCGCGATTGGTGCTGCACAGGGGACTGCAAATGCCATGGGAACATATGCTTCCCTGGGCACATTGTCCATCCTGCTGGCAGTATTGCAGCTGCACGCATCCCAACTTGGCATCTCCGGTGCTGCCCGCTTCACAGGAACACAATCCGATGTGGTTTTGCACCGAGCAACGAGCTTGGGCTCCACAGGCATTGGGCAGTGAGCAGGGATCGATGCACTTTGAGTCCAGGCAGGCCTTCTCCCCGGAGCAGTCATCATTGTCCGAGCACTCAATATGAACACATTCAATGGTCGGATCTCCGCGAGAATTCAGGGGACAAGTGCAAATAGCTTGGTGAGACTGAGCCTGGCAATCGGCATTCAATCCGCACGCATTCTGTCTTTCGCAGGGACTACGGCATCGGGAATTCTGGCAACTGGCTGAGAAAGGACAATCTGCATCACTCAGACACTCGTTGGGATCCCGACACCCAGCTTGCAAAGGATCTCCAATCAATCCTTCGGGGCACTGACAGTTGTAGCTTCCCGGCAAATTGTTGCAGAAGGCTGTGCTGTGGCATGGCTGCGATAGGCACTCGTTGATGTCCTCGCATATTCCGTTGACCAACTGATAGCCTTCGTAGCATGCACAAACTGCCTTGTGATCCTCAACCTGGCAATTACCCTTTCCGCAGCTGGTCAGGTCGCAGGGCTTGATGCAACGATTGGTTTCCGCATCGCAAGCACGATCTCCGGCACAGTCGACATGGTCGATGCACTCCACCTTGAAGCAACCAACTCCAGTGTCGTTGGGGTCGCCCAAAAATCCAGCCGGACAACTACATAGAGCCTCATGCCCCTCCGATTGACAATGGGCATTGGCCCCGCAAACAGTATTCAGGCAGGGATCCGAGCACTTCCCATGGATGCAGGCCAGATTATTGGCACAGTCGTCTGGTTTGTGGCATTGTCTGGGTTGCGCGCAACCCTGCTGGGAGTAGCCATCGCCGACAGTTCCTTCGGGGCATACGCATCGATATGATCCTGGAAGGTTCTCACAGCGGGCACTGCCATGGCACGGCTGTTCCGTGCACTCATCGATGTCAGAGCATCCGAATGGGGTGCCAATAAATCCAGTGGCACACTTGCACTTTCCGGTCAGACACAGCTCGGTGGGCGGGCAATCAGCATCGGAATCACATCCTGGTTGGCACGTCCTGTCCGTGTTGCAGATCTCTCCGGCCAAGCAGTTGTTGCTGGTGTAGCACACCTTGCGGCACACCTGTTGATAGCAACGTTCGCCTACCGCACAGGAAGAGGTCTTGGTGCAGGGCAGATTGCACTGGTTGCCAATGCACATGTGTCCATTGGGGCACTGGTTGGTGGCCAAGCAGGGAGCCGGTACTCGAACGCATCCCTGTTCCGGTGTGGGATTTCCCTCGAATCCTTCAGGACAGCTGCACTGGCTCCGGTGCTGGGCAATGCTGCACAGGGCATTCGGACCACAGCTGCTGGACGATTGGCAGGGGTTCAGGCACTTGTTTTCAATGCAGGATTGATCTTGCTTGCACTCCTTGTTGCTGCGACAGCCGATGGTGCAGTGTCCTTCGACACAGGCCAGACCATTGGCGCACTGGCTGTGATCCAGACAGGCCACCACGCAGACGTTCTTCAAGCAGCTCTCGCCATCGGAGCAATCCTGGGAGTCTCTGCAGGCAATGCGACATTGTCCGTTGTAACACAACGCTCCACCGCAGTCAACGTCAGTGAGGCAATTGGATATGGTACGAGCACATCCATCCTTGGCCGTATCCGAAACAGGCTGGAATCGCAGGGGACAGCTGCAGACGGGTTTTCTGTTGACCACCTTACAATCGGCATTCGATCCGCAGGCGTTGTCGCAAGGATTCTGGCACCTTCCTCCAGCGCAGATTGTGTTGGCAGGGCAATCAGCATCTCCATTAGGGCACTGACCATCTGGACGACAGCCGCCCGACTTGGGTTCGCCCACAAAGAGTGGCGGACACTTGCAGACAGGTCCCTCCGGGGTGACCTCACAAATTGCCGAGGGGTGGCAGGTTCCAGCAGCACAGCCGCCTTGCTTGCTGCAGGCCACTTCTGGTAACGGATCTCCCTTGAAACCAGGTGGACACTGGCAAACGGCCCGATGATCCTCAGCCAAGCAAATGGCATTTTCACCGCACGACTCCTCGTCGCACACATCGAAGCAGGTGTGTGTCATCCGGTTGCACATCTGGCTGGGTGGACAGTCATGGTTGTAAACACAAGGAACACTCTGGCAGCCATTAAATGGATCGTATGGATCCCCGGCAAACGGACCAGGTGGACATTGACACTGCGCCTGATGATTGTTGGTGACGCAAACGGCACGGGGTCCGCACTTGACGGTTTCGCAGGCTGGACGACAGCCAAGGGTTTGGGTAGCCTCATCCTTGATGCAAGCCTCCGACTCCTGGCACTCGGCGTGGTTTTTGCAGTGATGTTTCTGTGCCGGCTGGCAACCATTCCTATCGTTCGGGTTACCCACGAAGCCACTAAGACAATCACAGCGTCCCTGGTGCTGACGAGCCACGCAAACGGAATTGGCTGGGCAGGTGAAGGCATCGCAGATGGCGACGCACTTAAGCACACCCAAGACATCCGGACGACAGGCGGATGCATCAGGGCAATTAGCGTCACTGGTGCAGTCCGGTAGCGAAGGCTTTTCGCAGGAAGAGACCACTGGATTCCAAACATAGCTCTCGGCGCAATTGCAAATCGCATGGCCAGCTGGGTTAATCTTGCACAGCTCGTTGGGGCCGCACACGACATTGGAGCACAGGTTGATGCACTCCCGGGTGCCGTGAGGGCTGGCCTGACAACCGAAACCTCGTTCGCAGTCCCGATCCGATTTGCATTTATCCTGCTCCTCGGGCACTGTCCTCTCCGGCTGGCAGCCAACCTGCAGGTTGCTTGGGTTGCCAAAGTATCCATCGGAGCATATGCAAGAGGATCGATGATCCTCAGCCACGCAAAGTGCGTTTGGTCCGCACTGAATCTTGGAGCAAGCGTCCACGCACTTGCGAAGACCCTTGCCCAACTGGAAGCAGATCTCAGAGTGGCGGCAGTCCGCGTCGTTACCACACTGACCACGAATGCTGCATCCCTGGACTTGGTCGTGCGGATCTCCTATGTAACCCATGGGGCAGATGCATTTGCCAGCATCGCAGATGGCCCTTGGGCCACATGACGCCTCGGAGCAGAGGTTCTTGCACTGGCCCTTCTGGCAGCTGTAGCCATCTGGACACTCCACACGCTCGTTGCACTGGCACTTATTCGCATCCTGGCAGAACTTGCTCTCAATGGGTTGACAGCTACTATATGGATTTCCTGCATGTCCCGAGAGACACAGGCACTCGAATCCTCCGGCTCTATTTAGACAGGCGGCATTAAGACCACATGGTTTGTTGACACATTCATCCACATCCTGGCAGCCAATATAGGGATTACCACTGAAGCCTTGCGGGCAGAGGCAGATAATGTGATTGTCCACAGCTCGGCATTCGGCATTGGGTCCACAACTGTTTGGCTGGCACACGTTCTTGCTCTGTGCTCCACAGCCCTCGTAGGGATTTCCAAAGGTACCGGGGTTACAGGCGCACCGGCTTTGGCCCAAGCCATATTCGCAATGGGCGTTCTCTCCGCATCCTGGAGAGCACTTGGCTTGCTCAATGGGCGGCATACATATCAAATCGGGATTGCCCACAAAGTTCGGTTCGCAGATGCACTTTCCATTGTTTCTATCGCAGGTGGCTCCGATGCCACAGACCACGCCCTCACAGCGCTCCTTGCACCTTCCATTGATGCAGATCTGTCGCTCGCCACAAGGTCTGGCGGCCGAGCACTGATCCGTGGAGCAGCTGCCGCCGGGGAAGGGATTGCCCAGCTGTCCTTGCGGACACTTACAGGTCGGACCCTCGCTGGTGGGAATGCAAAGAGCTCCATCGCCGCAGATCACATTCTGGCACTGTGACACACAGTCTCCGTCTCCGTTCTTCACGAATCCCACCCGGCAGCGACACCAGCCGGCATGCTGTTCCGTCTCGCAGTAGGCATTGGATCCACAAAGGAGACTGCTGCATGGACTAACGCAAGTTCCCTCCAAGCAGGCCAGATTACTAGCGCAATCATCGTTGCTCAGGCACTTGCTCTTCGGTGTGCTGCTCTCAATGATGCAACCGCTCTTATACGGATCTCCTGTATAGTCCTTAGGGCAAACGCACTGATATCCACCCTTCTTGTTCACACAATGAGCTCGATAGGCGCACGGGAGATGGGAGCACTCGTCCTCATCCGTGCAGCCCTGCAGGGGATCTCCCTTGAATCCAGCCTCGCACATACATTGCGGTGGATCCGAGGGTGTACATTTGGCATTGATACCACAAGGGAAGCGTTCGCAGGGACTCTTGCATTTGTTGTTATCCTGCGGATCCAGGAAGTAGGGTGGTGGGCACACGCACTCTCCTGGCTGGATGCACTTCTCGTTGCTGGCACATTCCTTATCGGCAGCGCATTTCCTCTGAGCCGGGGCACACAGTCCATTGTAGGCATCTCCTTGGTAGCCTTCTGGGCAGTGGCAACTGTAGCTACCTGGTTTGTTAATGCACTGAGCTCCAAATGCGCACAGGTGAGATCCACGTTCCTCACACTCGTCAACGTCTGCGCAGCTTCCATCCGGTTGGGTTTGGTAGCCCTTGGGACAAGCACAGTAACTGACACCTCCAGCAATGGAGATGCACTCCGCTCCGCTGGGACAGGCCTGTCCACTGGAGCATCCTGAGAGGACGCAGCTGTTGCCGACAAGTTTATACGGTGACTGACATTGGCATTCCGGCGTATTACAGATCTCGCACATGAGGAATGGGTTTCCGGTATGACCCGGGGGACAGCGGCACTCGTAGCTACCGGGCAGGTTCTTACACAAAGCATTCAGTCCGCAAGCAGGCTTTCCTCTCTGCACAGAGCACTCATCGACATCCTGGCACTGGCCATTCCCCGGGTTACGTTCGTAGCCCTGTTGACAGATGCACACACTGTTGCCGGTGTAGGAATCTTGGACGCAGCTCTCGCCCGTCGCACAAGGACTGGCCTCCGAGCAACCCTCCATCTTAGAGGTAATGCATCCTTCGCGATACGGATCTCCACTTGATCCCCCTGGACATTGACACAGATAGCCTCCAGCTGTATTGGAACATATGGCCTTCTCCGCACAGGGATTAGCCCGGCACTCGTCGATATCATTGCAGCCTCCCGGCAGAGCTGAGTTTCCTGTATATCCTGGAGCACACAGACACTGGGCCTGTCCATTGGCCAACATGCACTGAGCATGTGCTCCACAATTTAGGGCTTCGCAAGGGTGTCGGCAGTCATTTCCAATATTAGGTTCCGGGCACAGGCAACGCTTGGTCGCATCACAGATGGAGTTACCGGGGCAGTCATTGTTGGAGGAGCAGCTCACAATGGGTACACATCTCACACTGGGATCCGGATCGGCAATGGTGTTCTCGGGACAGCGACAGGTGTATCCTCCACCTGCTACATTCACGCACTCAGCTCCAGCTCCACATTTGCTGGCACCCGTGCGGCACTCATCCACATCCGCGCACTTAGTATGAGGATCTCCAGAGAAACCGGGTGGACAGGCACACGTAAATCCTCCAGCGTTGTTTGTGCATGTGGCATTGTGACCACAACTTCCGAAAGGTCCATGCAGCAAATCGCACTCATCAATGTCCACACATCCGGCCGCAACATCGCTTGGGTTGTAGGTCCATCCATCTTCGCATACACAGTAGGCTTCGTTCTGATCCGGTTTGCAGTAGGCATGGGCTCCACACCGTACATCCTCGCACGGCTGCTTGCAGGCCATCCTTGGTGGACTGCCCACATATCCAGCCTCGCATTCGCAACCGTAAGATCCGGGAGTATTCAAGCACTGGGCATGGGGGCCACACACCTCCGTATGGGTGCGACACTCATCGATGTCCACACAACTTGATCCAATGGGTTCGAAGCCATCCAAGCAAAAGCACTGATTCTCGATACACTCCGCATTGTTGGTACAATCGAAGTTACTACTGCAAAGTATATTGACATCCACCTGTTCGCAGGCCACCTTGGGATCGGGTTTCCCGTCGTATCCCTGCGGGCACTTGCAATTGTAGCCAGGAACTGTATTTTCGCATACCGCATGTTGTCCACATGGTTTGTCCAAAGCGGCACACTCATCGATATCCACACATCCGCGGAACGGATCACCGGTATAGTCCGGTTTGCAGGTGCACACGAAGCTGCCAACGGTGTCCGTGCAGATCGCGTTTTCCCCACACGGATTATCCTGACACTCATTGATGTCTACGCGATTTCCAGTCGGTGCAGGGACAGGGGTGTTGGTTGATTGGAGAGGGGGCACGCGTGTTCAATTGCGGGTTTGGGGGTGAGTTAAATATATTATAATTAATTAAATTAGTATTCAAAACAATACGGAATCGGATGAAAGGCGAGGGAGCATAGCGTGAAGTGGGGGAGCGGGATCGGGTGGGCGATAAAGATATAGAGAACAGTTTAGGAAGGTGGGACTACAGAGGTACAAAGGAAGCTGTCTGAAAAGCATGCATCTGCTAGGGAAGCAAATAAGCCAAGCTTGAAGCTTGCAAAACAGCTTGAGGGGATCATAGCAGGTGTTGGGAAGCAGGGAAAGAGGCAAACACAAAGTTGGCAAACTCCAAAAGGAAATCGGGATTATGCCAACCTTGTGAGCTACTAAAATGCCTGGGCTCTATAAAGTTGGATTTATTTCAACATCAGTGTCAATTTTAAAGACCTTTTTAAATATTGAAAGTTAAGATCTCATTTTAAAGACCTTTTTAAATATTGAAAGTTAAGATCTCATAAAAACATGAATAATTATTTCAAATGTGAGATTGAGAATAATAAGGCTAAAATTATAGATCTTTAGATAAATTTAACTAGTAAAAATATTATTGTTTTACATTTTTTAAAAATTTATAAAAACAAATTATTTGTATATTAAAAGTTGTGCATATACCTTTTACTGTTTTTGCAGTATTTTTCTATTGTTTGAATTCAGAAAGTGATGTGATATATTTTCGGTAATATAAAGTTTGATAGCAAATTTCTAATTCTTGAATTGCATTGCCTTATATTTTAATTCCCTTCTAAAGACACTGTTAATAGAGCCCAAGCAAAGGCAAAAAGCAGGCAGGATACTAACTCTCGCAGTGCAAATAGCCCTGTCCTTGGAATCCGCTCGGACACAGGCAGCGGTACGAGCCGGGAAAGTTAATGCACTTGGCGTTGGTGCCGCACTTGGCCACGCCATCCGGCTGGTTGCACTCGTCGATATCCAGGCACGCCAGACCGGCGCCCGAGGTCCGCTGATAGGACGCCACGTCCGTCGCCCCCGGCCCGTAGCCCAATTGTTGGGGATTCGGCTGGGGCAACTGATCCGCGTGCGGATCGTGCTCCAACACAAAGCCGAGGGGACAGCGGCACTGGAAGCTACCGCCCAAGTTCACGCATTCAGCACCCAAACCGCATGGATTGTTAGTGGCGCATTCATCGACATCTGCCGGCGTTAGGCATTAATTTTTGTATTAATGTTGCATGTTGCGGTGCATTAATGTACGAGTTTAATAATAATGTGTGTGTAGGTGGTGTTTGTTCGTTTGTTGAGGGTGCCGCCAATTCAAATTCAAAAGAACGAGTGCAAAAAATAACCAAAATGGAATAATGTCAAACGATGAGGTAATCTAATTAGTCTAGTTTCTAGGCCCTGTACTCACCCTCGCAGCCGTGCATAGGATCACCGCTGTATCCGTCCGGACACAGGCAGCGGAAGCTGCCGTCCGTGTTCAAACAGTCCGCGTTCCGGCCGCAGGGCGTCCGGGCGCACTCATCCTGATCCACGCAGCCGGACTCCGAGCGTCCATCGCCGTCGTATCCCGGCGGGCAGTCGCAGCGATAACTACCCTCGAGATTCGTACATATGGCACCGGGTCCGCAGACATTCGGGTACGAGCACTGGTCCACATCCTGGCAACCCTCCCGGAACGGATTGTTGCCCACATATCCCTCCGGACAGGAGCATGTGTAGTTTCCCGGCGTATTGATGCACAGGGCGTTGGGGCCGCAGTTCTCCGGATTGCGGCATTCGTCCACATCCGTGCAGAGAACCTCGCCGTCGCCCTCGTAGCCGTCCTTGCACTTGCAGAGGAAGTGCGCCGGGAGGTTACAGCACTCGGCGTTCTCCACGCATCGCGCTGCTATCGCGGGATCTTGGCATTCGTCAATGTCTGCAAGGAAAAAAGAGAGCGGAGGTTTGATTAATCGAATGTGCCACGCAACAAATGACAAGTAATTAAAATCCGAACGCAGTGCATTTATCTCCACCTCCGGGCATACACTGAGTGAAATTTGTAAACCAAATCCAAATGGTTTTATAATATATAGAACAACAAGAAAGAATTTTCTTGGTCTTGAAGGTTAATATATAAATACATTTCAAACCATTTATATAACTCTATAGTTCTTAATTCTGCTGAATTTTTAAAGAAAAAATAAATTTTAGAATTCACATCTCCAGTGTATTTACCCCCCCACAGAAAGTCGAACAGAGTCCGATCTCAGCCTCATTCTACAGCTCTACGCATTTTGCCGCTTGAATGCGCTTTGCTCGCTTTGCAGTTGCACTCGGAGTCGGAGTCGCTGCTGGAGTTGGAACTTCAGTGGATGCATCCGAGATTTGCATGTTACGCATGACATTTCAGTGTCATTTCAGCGGCGTGGCAGTCACTGGCTGCAATGTCACAGCACAGGATGCACCAGTTGCATACGCTTTGCATACCAATTGGCTGTGTGGTCAATGTTAATAGGGCGGGCCATTTCCATTCGGAATTCCCAAACGGAATTCATATCTAGTTTGGAGATATTGTAAAAAATACATTTCTTTTCTCAGGAATTTGTATACTCTCTAGAAGCCAATTCATAGTGCTGACCATTAACAGATCTTTCACTTTCAAAGCTTATTCCATCCAATTAGAGTATATATATTTGCTTGACGGCAATTTTTTTGTTTACAATAGCATCCAATAATACAATAACTTTCCTAAAATTACAATTAATAGCCCGAAAACAAGTAGCAATCATGTACTTACAAAAAAAAGAAGAGCATAGCCCCATGACATTCATACTATGAACAAAATTATAATCAAGCAGCAAGACATTTTTGAATAAGTAGCCATCCAGCATTAATTTTAATATATTCTTGAATTGCATAATCCCTTCTAACCTTTCAGCTAAGCCCAGCTAAGCCACAATCTCTGGGTCTGAATCCAAATCTAAAGCTTAACTCAGGCGGAAGACTGGCTTAGGATGAGCTGATGATCAGGGCTTTATGCTCCAATAGCGCGCAGCGCATTGAGAATTCAATATCGCAGACGGTCGGAGCCAATGGAGCGGCAATTCGGCTGGGATGGGATGGAATGGAAGCGGGGAGCAGGCGGGCATCATGGGCATGGGCAGCCGCTCCATCGCAATCTGGGCCCATTAATCATTGGGCCGGCGACCAGGCAAAAGTTGTACATTTATAGCTAATATGACATAAGTACAAAAGTTGGCAAAAGCCAAAGACAAGGACCCTAGAATGGGCAATGGGAAAAAGGGACAGCGGCGGGCGAGTGAGTGCCTTATAATTACAAGCAGAACGAGTCGGCCGTTCAGTTATAATTACAAGTTTTTAGCTTATAAATTAAGAGGATCATCACTCGGCAGCGGCGGTGCCGAAACTGGTATTTGCTCTTAACAACCGACTGATATGACAGCATTCCATGTTTGGCCGGCATCGCCACGTTGGTTGTTGCAATTGCAAACTCTGATTACTCAATGTCATCATCCTCATCCTAGTCGACTCTCATGCCAGTCTTGGTCTTGGCCAAATGGCAGTGGCAGCCCAGCAGAGTTGTTCTTCCAGAAGCAGGAAGCATTCTGTGTTCTTCTAAGTTTCAATGTCAGTTTAATTACTTTATGCAATCCGACTGCAAGTCGACGGATCGGGCCATTGACCAAAGTCTGTCTAATGAACTTAGCACGCCCGATGCATCTCCTGCCAGGAATGTTATTCTCACAGCCCGTTAAACAGCAACTCTCCGCTACGAAGTGTAAATTACATTTTTGCCTCCACTGAGATTAAGTTTTTCCAGCTTTCGCAAATCGTATTTCTATTTTGGCAAAGCTCTTTTTTTTAGTAGGCGTTCTTTTTACCCCTAGCTATCGGATTTGACCGCTTTAAAAGCAATCAAATATGCGTGACTTGATGTGATTAAGCCGAATGATTGCCTGAAATGATGCTGACATAATTCTCGTTGGCTGCCTTAATCAGGGTCTTCTTCTTGGGTTTCCTGTTCGTCTCTAAATGCTAACCATAATCGTCAGAACGAGACTTGTTCCAAGTGGCATTTTAAAAGACGGTGATCTGATCATTAAAACCACACACTCGCACGAATTCAGAAAAAGGAAAATGATTAGAACATTGTTATATATATATATATATATATATTTCTAAGCTTCTTATGTCAAAGAAACTTTTGTTTTGGAGGGTATGGATGGATTTCATATTTCCTGTCTGCAAGAAAATTATATCTAATTAAGTGGTGATTTAAATAACAATCAACTTTTCGTTTGCCAATCAAACCTTTGCACTCTTGTGCAGCTCTGCTCCAATTAAAACTAATTATCAATCAGACTATTGCAAAAATCAACAAAAAGGCAAAAGCTAATCTATACATGAGCAGTCTGGTCTGGTTGGCGTCTATCTAATATATTGTGTAATTGTTGGACTAATTAGGATTGGCTGCATTTGTTGCATTTGTTGTTTTCCGAGCTGCCAGAGTGAGCTAAACAATTTGAATTATGACATTCGTGTCATATAGAAGAGATAAAATTTACGAGCGGACATGACTTTCATGCTCCACTGCCGGCCAATGATTAGCAGCTCGAATAAATAACAATAAACCAACTCATAGCCCAAAAACGTCTAACAGTTGAACTTGAACTCGAGCAAAAAATATACATAACTAGGTAGTAATAAAGAAAACCAAAATTAGTTAACAATTTGTTACGCAATTATGCGTCAAGTTTTGCCATGCGACTAAGTATGCTCTAAGATCAAGGTCGGCGCGCAAGTGATGTCAGCCGGATCCGGGGCACTGGTAAAACCAAAGCCATGGGTGGCTTTTCTTGGCGAAGCCGCCCCTCATTTGTGCGTAAATGTGGCAACACACGCGCGTATAATTAGGCGTGTCAATGCCGACGCTTAAAGCCTTTTTCATGCCTTATCAGCGCCGGCTTCGACATGAGAATTAATTGCTGCCATTTTGATATGCAAAAAGTGCAAAGTACCTGGCAAAAAAAAATTGCTCTACAAAGAGGCCTAAAATAAGAAGCCACAACACCGGATCGAGGTGTATATGTTCTGACCAAAAATAAAAACAAGCTGGCTTTGAAGACCGAAGTTGGGGTTATCCTTCAGGTTTCTAAAGTAATATATTAATAAAAAAAAGGAAGGATTTATGTATGTCTTAATAACTATAGTGCCCTAAACTAATTAAAAGTCTAGAATAAGTAATTGTTATACAAGGCTATTTTCATTTGTATTAATTATTATTCACACGACTTTACATGGCTTATAATAAAATGAGAGATGATTATGGTCATAAAGCCCCATTTTATAATTTCTGACGGAAAGGTATTAATTGTCATGGTCGATAGATCATTCTTGCTAAAATCTTAATACCCTCCTGGAAGGGTATTAAACAAAAACGGAACGAAAAACTGGCAACGCTTATCAACTGACGTTGATCTCCAACTGGTGCGTTGCCCGGCACAAGTCGGCGGATTGAAGTTGGTGTCGGTTTTGGCTTTGCTTTCGGCTTGGGAGCGGGACAAGGAGATGGAGCTGTAGTTGGAGCTGCAGCTGGAGATGGAGGCAGTGCCGTTTGGGGCTTTTGAGGACAGGCGGCATTAAGCGCCGACAACGCTACCGCCTCGAATCTCGATCCTCAAAACCGAAGAACTGTGGAGTGGGGAGTGGGGGACCGGAGCCGAGACTGTGACGGCGTTGCTACGTGGGCACAATCTATTTTATCCGTTTTAATGATCTGCCCCAGTTAGCGAAACGAAAGGGAGCAGCCGCCGTTGGTGAACGTGCCTGGCCAAGAGCTGGAGCTTGGAGCTGGAGCGGACCAGCAAACACTAGTCGATCCAACTTATTGCTGTATTTGCGCCTTGTTGTCTTTTGGCGCTGGCCAAGTGGAAATAAATTTTAGCACTCAGCCAGAGAGGCTCACTCCATTTATTGCAAGACAAATGCATTAGAAGGATCGATAACTGCAGGCCCACTCTCTCCCTGCGTGTGTATATTTCATTTTTCAATAGTCATTGCATAACTGGACTTTTGCGATGCGTTAACGAAGCCATCGCCATCGAACGCGTTTGAGTTATGAACATGAAATAATGCGCCACAGAGTCTGAAACAGGTGTTGCCACAAACCACCGTTAGATGCATAAAAAGGAAAAAAAAAATGGCGAAATGCGAAACAGGAAAACAGGTACATCTACCTGTAGTCAAACACTCGCACACACAGCAGCACGCAAAAAATGTGTCTCTAAGCCGGCGAAGAGTGGGTTTGTCAGGCCAAGAGCAGTGTGATTTGTGGCTAAGTTTATTGGGTGAACTTGATGCAGAAACTGGATTTACATAACGCCTGGGGACACCTCAAATCACATGAATAACCTGGGCGTTGCAGGATGGGTGCAAGTCCTCCCTGCTCATGGCGGATTTTTTTTTAACTGATGTTTGAACTTATCAGATTATAACTTTGATGATCTACACATGGCACACATTCACAGTAAATTCATTCTTTCATAGGAAGAAGGGTACAATAAGCTGAGTAAAATATTCCAGGCTATTACAATAACACATGCTAATGCAATCTGATACTCTATCTATATCATAGAATTATGCAATCAGCTACTGGTACTGCCTACATTTAATTGTGTATTTAAGAGCATTCGCTATGGGAAACGAAGTGCGTGCCCCTGATGAAGATTCAACTATTCCACGCACATGTGCAGATGGCGAGTAAAACTTTCTCAGCGCATTTAAAACTAATTCAGATGATTACAGACAATTGGAGGTTCTGCGGTTGTTTTGGGGTCTGGTTCTGGTTCTGGTTGTGGGTCTCGAGAAGGGCCCTGTCCCCAATGCAACATGGCGGGCGCAATCATGCCATCGTGAATAATATGCGAGAAAAGTTCTATAGAAAAGAATTAGATAATGCGACTGAAATGCGATGCCGTCGTTACACGTCGCTGCTCAGAATTTATGCATGCCTGCCGCTGGATGGGATTTTGCGACCGGGCGACTGGGACTCTCGGTTGGCTCCTCCACATCAGTCGTCACATGTAATCTAGAATCTTGGCAACGTCTTCATACTTAGTGGGGTAATGTCAGAGTGTCTGTGAAATTTGCGCTCGTTATCGCATTGCATCGAATGCAGGTGGGGCGTGGCAGGGCCTTCTCCCTCTTTTTCATCCATTGGAAGTGTTGAAAGTTCTGGCGTGTCCATGTTCGGGGTCAGATTACATGACACTGATTCCCCGTCTAACAGACAGCCACGATGTGTTGCATGGCGCGAAAGCATTGCCACAAATGCCGTGGCTTTTTATTGTTTGGTTTCTCCCGATCCAGCCGCATCATTATCACCGCCATCATCATCTCCGATTGGGAATAGGTTCTCGGACCGAACTACTTGGGTTCAAATGAAGGCGGGGGAAAGAAAGATATAACCCCTTCGTACACTTTCCTAGTTATTATTGCTGCTATCGCCGTTGTTCTTGTTTTCGATTCGTTCTTCTTTGGTTTTTGTGATGCCATAATGTGTTTTTATTACGTAACATTAGCCGCAGTCCAATTACGGCAGCCGGTTTCTCACTGTCATATACTGGTACTCGTAATCGCCCATATGGGGAAACAGGTGCGCCAGATCCCGGAGAGTTCTATCTTCTCGCTTTTTGGGCCCCTGCTGTGCAGCACTTAGGCTAACGAGCAAATGGAACCGACCCCAGGATCGAAACTGTAGCAGATCGGCGGAAACTGATTGAGATATTTCGGAATTCGTTTGGCCAGGGCTCCAAGAGATCCAGAAAGCTCTAACCTGGGATTAGATTTGCCGCCCGCGGCTCTCTAATCTGCTTCAGCCTTGCTGCAAAGCACTCAAGTGTAATCGCTACACGGTCATTATTATTACCTTGCAGATAAGTACTACTCTATTCTGGCTGAGAAAGCTTTCATATTATTGTCTGGCGCGTCTTTTGTTACATTTTCAGCTTTGGAGGCTGGGCACTTGAGACGTCTTGGCTGGGAATGGCACAAACCGTTAGGCCAAACTACAAAAACGACCCAAGTCTGGGCTAAAAAGAGACGTTGACGGAAGTACAAAACGGCAAACAACAATCATCTGTACAATGGCTGGTTGGCTGGCCAGTCATTATGCTAACTAATACAATGAAACTAAGGCAGAGGCTGTTTGGTAAAGTTACACACGAAAAAAATATGCGATTACGTTTTCTTTCGAAAACTAAAATATTTGGAATACTACGGAAAATAAATTAATGTAGTCTTTTAATTTATAAAGAATTTCCTTTTTTAGACACATCATACGTTTTTAAAATCAAAATAAATATATAGTTAATAGAGATCAATTAAAAACTGTTGCTTTTTGTATAGAACTTACCTTCACAATGGAAGCCATTGCCGCGATAGCCCGGAAAGCAGGTACACGTAAAGCTGCCCAGTGTATTTGTGCAATGGGCGAACACGTCGCACGGCCGCTGTTTGCATTCGTTCTCATCTACGGGCAGGAATTGTTGGGGTTTTTAACGGTTATGTAAGTTAAGACTAGACACAATCAAACTCACCTTTGTCCACGCAATTGCAGCCTCCGTAGCCGTCATTGCAATGGCAGACGCCGTTCAAACACGCGCCATGTGTGCACTGGGTGCCATCCTTATCACAGTCATCTGCGGAAAATAAACGATCGGGCGTTAGCCAAACCCATTAAGCTTTCAAGCGATTTGAACTCAGATACTCACTTGTGCATTTGAGCTCTTTGCTCAACTCATCGGCACCCAGAAAACAGTCTTGGGTGCCGTCGCATAGTTTCGATAGGTTGAATAGCTGCAAATATTCGGTGGACTCGTTGACTTGGCAGCCAAAGTAGCCATTCTCGAGGTTTAGGTAAAAGACCTCGCCGCGAAACCGACTATTCGCCCTCAAGTTCGTCTTGAATGGTTGCGGTTGTTGTGAATATTGTGAATGTACCTGCAAGCACACAATAAAATTGAATTAGTCAATTGCACGCCATAAAATGGGGAAGTTTAAAACGCCCTGTTAGATAGTGAGCGCTACTAACCCTTAATAAACCAGATTTTAAACTACGTTCATCAGAATACTTTTTTTAAATGTTAAAAGGCATTTTGTAAATGGAAGAATTGGAAAAGATATCTAATACCTCACATTTGTATGATAGAATCTTTGAAGGCTTAATGCGACAATAAAAGCTTTAAATAAAACCTGCATCTAATAAAAAATCATTTTTATACTGATAAAAGAAAAGTTTTAATGATCCTTTAAATTCTTATTACAGATATTTTACTTCTCCAAACAAACAGTGAAACCTTTTCCTAATGCCAACCTTTGCTGCAACCTCATTTCGTAGATCATAGTATTTAGGGGCCCCCAGCTGGTTTCGCTAAACTAATTTAAATTCAAATTAGATACAGCAAGCTTAGCAGGCGTAGCACCGGCAGCGCTTCTTCAGATTTCCCAACCCGATGTGGTCCATATGGGCACGACCCGATCGTACAGGTACAGGTATAAGTATATAGACACACCAGCCCATTCTCCACTATATTGTACCCGTTTGTGTTGTTTCGCCGCCACTTAATTGTTACACTTGGCTGATTTTACTTTTAGCAAAACAAAAGTTGTTCGCCGCTTGCCATATTTTCTTGGCCAAAACTCTGGCGACTGGCTGGCAGCTCGAGTGTTTGTGTTTGTGTTGCCAGCATTAGATAGCTGGCTGGGAAACAAGTTTGTCACTTAAGACCTTTTTGTGCTCCAGCAAAATGAATTAAAACTAGTTTCTATACATGTATGTTTTGTCGCATTGCCGTTGTTATACATATACGATTGTACTTCTATTTTTGTAGCCTGTTCAATTTGACTTCCTACGCTCAAATATAGTTATTAAGTGGTTAGATCAGATTTGGAATCAGCTTAAATATTTGTAAAACAAGATAAAGGTGAGTTGTTTGGAGTTTCTTCAATAAATAACAGAATCGAATGCCTCAAGTACGTGAACGTTTCTTTTAATGATTACTATTGGGCAACAAAAGTCTGCACATTTTTAGGAATGCTTGTTGAGTCAAGGATTTTAATGTTATTTAAGACTTTTTCATTTTCATTAAATAGACACAATTTGCAGATTATTTAAGCCTTGTTTATGGGTTGATTGTTAGGGCATATCTTATTTCCTTATTATCACACAAAATACTACACCTTTTTTATGCCCTTAATTCATTTCTGAAGGTAGTTTCTCAATAAAGAAGAAGTCCCAGCAAGAACCCCTAAAAGTTTTCCATGTTTCCTTATTTATGTCCAATTTTCTTAGATTTTTGTTGTGGGCGCCTAATGAGGTAGGAAGGCCATAAAAAAGCGGCTTAAATTGGTCTACGACCCCGCTGTGGAAGGTGTGAACATGAGGCACTGGCTGTCAAGTTCAAGTTTAGCCGCGAATTGTTTTAGGCAGATTCTTATCGAGAGGAAGACGAGGAGTAGCACCCGCATGGGCTCCCCCGAGTTCTATGGGGCTTTGGGTTTTCAATTGCTTTTGCTGTGTGTGCTTTGTGCCCACTTCACGCCATGCAACGCTAACGGCCTTGCTAAACAATAGATTCCGCCGTCTCTGCGACTTTTATCAATTGACAGGCGGCACAATGAGCAGCACATGCACTCAACTGAGGCAGCAATACTATGGAACAAACGGCGATGCAACAATTAAAGGCGTGCGAGCAAAGATGTGCGAAGCCGATGTGGATGCTGATGCTACTGATGCTACTCTACTCATGATGACGATAATGATGATGATGCGGCTGCTGAAAGCTCCCATGACATTGAGCGGCGTGCCAGCGACTACAATGTGCAATTTTTCGTAGCAAAGCTTGTTAACAGGCGCAATGACAACGGCAGACAGATGACGACGTTGCACGTCAACGCTCAAGTGCATATCCGTTATAACTGTCAATGGGTATTAACTCTACTTTATTTTGCAAAAACTAAGTTACTCCTGGTAATTTTGTCTTCTTCTCGTTAAAAGAAACTTCTAGGTATACTAAATCGATCTGAGCTTTTTAGTTGACTTATATTTATTTTGTTTTACTTTTTTATTGACCTGATTTTTAAAATTTTTTCATTTAGAGAGTTTGTTTAATAATACTAATATTTATTTATAATTCTCCACCTCTTACTGATTTTACCAGTATTTGTTATTTTAAAAAAAATCTTTGCTTTAAGCATTTTTATTTAAATATAAGGAGTGGCTACAAAAGTAAACTTAATTAAATTCTGCCTGAACTTTCGACAACCATTTGCAAATATTGGCTTTAAATCTACAAAACATCCGTCAACCATCAAGTTCGTTGCCTGAGTCTTTTGTTTGGAGCAAAAAAAGTTCACCATTTCACAATTAATTATGATCCCATCTAGCTAATCAAATGAATTATGACTGCCTCGCATAAATCGAGTTTCAACGCACAAAGCAAATCCATAAAAGAATCCCGACATGAAACCAACCATTGACAGAGTGTCGCAAAGAAAACCACAAACGGGAGAGAGGAGTCAATGAACTTGGCTTTCGGCTTAGAGAACTCTCTTGGCCAATTTCTTAAACACCGGACACCCTTCATTCCCCTCTCTCGCCGACTGCATAAATCGATGACTATCAAAGCGTTTTTACAGCTAATGCGGCTATTTTTATTCATTACGTTTTCTTGGCTTTCTTCCATCGATTGGCTCGGTGAGCTTTGGTTCGGTTCCTCGGCCAGTCGTTGACCGGGGTGATTCTGCTCTTCCGTTGGCCCTATCATTACTAGTCACTCTCTAGCCCTGTTTTTCTGTTTGGTTTGGTTTAGAATTCTTCCCGGCTGCCAAATTATTTACCCATTTCCTCTCACTCTCCAGCAGATTTCACAGCTAGCTGTTAGTTTTAATAAATATGTTATACCTATGCCCGAGTCATTTTGCAGTAATTTCTTTTTATGGCTCATTTGCATGAGACCCGGCCAGATACCGTTAGGTCATCAAAGGTTCCATCCATCGTTATAATTTGTTCCCTCTCTTCGCTTTCCGATTCTGTATTATTTCTTTTCAAACGAACATTTGTTAACCATTGGGGTTCTTTCACTTCTTGGATCTTTTCGGGTGTATTTGTTCAGAAATTTGTTTCATAATGAGGTGGCAGCTCGTAAATTTAATCATATTTCTCTTCTTTTCAGCGGTGGGGCGTGAAAGGCTCTTTGTTTGTGCCTTTCGAGAACCCATAAATTAATTTTGACCCCTGCGCTAACTGCCAATGGCAACCTCTGATCTAATCCCATCGATATTCAGGTTTGGCCCCGTCAACTTAACACTAATTAGCTTAATAAAGAATAATGTTTATGGGGTACTTACTGCACTCGAGAGTAGTAGCACTATCCACGTGACTAGTGGCAAAAATATTTTCATTTTTGCTGCAAAGAGAACAAAGAGAAAAAATCACACATTAAAAATTGAAAAATCAATTAAAGGCATGTTAAATAAGAAAAAACAAGAGAGAACGCTATAGTCGGGTGCCCCGACTATCAGATACCCGTTACTCAGGTAAAGGGAGTGCGAGGGAGATGGAGATAGAAACTTTGATCACGCATAACTTTTTAACGAATGGTCCGATTTGAAAAATTTCTTCTACATTTCGATAGGTATTGATAAACATAATAAAACTGCATTTTTATTTTTCCGAAATATTTAAATTTTTAAAATCGTATATTAGCGATTGTGGGCGTTAAAGGGGGCGTGGCACCTTTTTGAAACAAACTTGCGCTGCGTAGGAACTTCTAAAATCTACATGCAAAATGCCAATCTTCTAGCTTTTATAGTTTCCGAGATCTCAGCGTTCATACGGACAGACAGACGGACAGACGGACAGACGGACAGACGGACAGACAGACGGACAGACGGACATGGCTAGTTCGACTCGGCTAGTGATCCTGATCAAGAATATATATACTTTATAGGGTCGGAAACGCTTCCTTCTAGCTGTTACATACTTTTGCACGAATACAATATACCCTTTTACTCTACGAGTAACGGGTATAATAAATACAATTAAGGCCACCCGGGAGAATAGCCACTTATGGATACGTAAGACGCTTTTCGTCTCAGGCCGAAAAACAAATAAAAATAATTAACTTAAAAATGTTGAGCACGCACAAACAAAACACAATTGGCCTGGTCATCTCGGACAGGTGCCAAATAATAACAATAAAGGAGAAACAAAAGACAAATGCCAAGACGGGTAAATGACACTTGAAATTTATGCGCAAACACGAGTTCGAGTCCCAGGTCTCAGGCTTATCGCTTCCTTTGCCTTTCCCTGAAAACTTATCCAACAACGGGACCGGCATAAAAAATAATGCCCGAACACCTTTAGCGAAACAGAAAATGTTTAATGCCCGCAATATTCATTGTTCGCTACCTGTTGGCGATTTTCTCACGCATTCATTTTCCACTTTCAGTTTTTAGTTTTCAGTCGGCGTCTGATTTTCATTAGAGTTTGGGCCTGGTAACGAGAAAAACGTAAAAACGGGCTTGGACTCAGTGTTAATTGGGTAGAATGACAGAAAATTGCGTTTCCCCAGGCTTTGGGGTTTTTGGGATAACGTAATAATTTTGTGTGAAGTCCGATGGCATCTTTATATGGTAGGCGGGCGCTCTCATGATTATGACATAAGACAGCTCGAGACGGAAGTGTCTGGAAAAAAGGCATTAGTCTGTTCCAGGCTAAAAATATACAGCTATGTTTGACTAACTTAAAATTTAACTTTGAAATAATATCTAATAGATATTCTTAATGACATTTTTTTGAATATTGTTAAAAGAATTAAAATAATACTTTACAGTCAGACGCTAGGTATTATTTACGATGTGCCAAGTTCTTGAAATAATGACGTTGTGTTAACTATTTGCCAAAACCATATTCTTCGCATTCCACAAATTTTTTCGACTCTAAAAGGTTCCACTGTAGCTGGAGATGGGCGTAGGCAAACAACTTTCTTAAGCCGGCGTGAATGTTTCAACGTGTGTAAAAATATTTCCCATTATCCATCTGCGAGTGGAAACTGGAAAACAGCGCCCTCGGCTGGCCATAAAACCTTCAACGGGCTAAAGGTAAAAGGCAGGCCAGGATTGGAGCCAGCGATTTATCTATTTCGGTTTATCAGCTAATAAACGCTTAAATAAAATACACACTCTGAGCCAAATTACATGCGCTTTGCAGTTTGCAGGAGGAGGAAGTTGGTCTCGAAGTCCCGGGATTTTGCGTCTTGTTTGCTGACTTGACCATAAAGGGAATTGGCCCGGGTCCAAAGATGTACTCCGTTCTAACGACATTTGAAGCTCGGCAGCCAGGCTCTTCTAATCTTGTTCTGGCCGTTTCCAGATCCAAGTCCGCCGGCCTTTGGCGATTTGTGTTTGCCCATGTTCATGATCACTTAATTAAAGCTGGCCTCCAGTTTCCTGGGCCTTATGTTTATGTTCTGTGATGCCCGATAAATTTATGTGGCCGCAAAATGAGCGTAATTTGGTGGGTTTGGGTTTGTTCTTGGGTTAACTCCCTGACTGGGATTTCCTGGGCAGCTCCCTTTGGCTGACAAGCTGATATATGTGCGTGATAAATGTGGCAAATGCGGTTTCTTGTTTTCCTATCCCCGCGATTGGAAATCACGAAATGCAATGCGGCAGAACGTATTTCAAATTTCCAAATTATCGGGAGCTACAGCAATCGAAGGCGCACTAATCTCAGATGCTCTTAATGGCTTTCTTTGTGCTTTTAATTGTAATTGTCGGTTTTTCTACTCTGTTAAAACTGCACAGATACGTCGCACTTAATTGAGCAGTGAAGAAAAATGTCCGATAACCCACTGTAAAGTTCGATAACAGCATAAATTGGGATTTACCAGAAGCTTTTGGAACGAACGGAATGTAACATAAAAAATTATGAAGGATACATAGTAGAAGATTTCAAGTATGAAATAGTTATTATTTAAGCTTAAGGAAATTTAGGTAATATCCAATGAAATCTTCCATGTCAAAGTCATAATAAAGAATAAAAATATAAATTTTAAAATAAAAATATATAAAAGAAGAAAATATAGAAGAAGAATAAAAAAAAAGTCCAAAAATTGGAATATCATTTTTAAGTGATTGAAAAATTCTCATTGTTTAGCCTCCCATAAACATCTAGCTCTACCTAACTCCAACTAACGGCACCGCTGTCATGAGATCTACGCATAAATGTCCGTAGATCTTATCAAAATATTTGTACAATGTCAAATAATTTTTGAATGAAGGCCAAACAGCCGCCGGTCACTTGAGGTTTATAAGACTTGGCTGAAAAGCCGAAAAATTCGTTGAATCTCGATCTGCGAAACGAGAAACTGGCTCTTACTCTTGCTTTGATCCCCGTTGCTGCCATCTCGCTCTAATGCTGCGGCTGTCGACGGTATCATCAACGTCACTGCCGCTGGTGCCGTCTCTTTCTCTCGCTGGGGATGATCTCATCTGGTTTTAACCTGTCTAGCCACTAAATCAAAGTCAAAGAAGCGAGTGACACATTTTTGCTCGATCGTCCGAAAAACATTCTACACGAAAACAAACACTAACGCAAAATTAATGATGGCATCTTTATTAAAAATAAATGCTGATAGCTTGAAAAATGGGTTTCTCGCAAAGCAAACATTTTGTGCATTAACTGAGAAAAGTGGAGACGGGGTAGTGTGTACACACCCATAAAGATTACGACCGGATGCTGACGCGTCATCGATGCAATCGACAGTAGTTGGGAATTTTTCGTGTTTACTTGTGTATTTTATTTGTAATTTAGATTTGCATGCCGCGTGAGTGGCAATTGGGCTTTGATTGATTTCCAAATTGCAGGCGGCGCCCCATTTTTGATTTTATTTTCCCTTTCTTGTGGGTTATTGTCATAAATCTCGCTTAAATCGATTTTATCTGCCCCTGGCCACGCCCCCCTGCCGGTGGGCCCATCAATTAATTATACTTTTTCAATGTCAAAATGTCGCTGCAAAGAAGGTGCGTCGTCTGCTTAACCCTTTTTATTAAAAGCTTGCTACATAAATCTTGCGGCGCCTACAAAATGGAACCTGAGAGTTGCGTCTGATCCTGTGGCTTAGCATTTTTTCTAATTGCAGGTTTTCCATCGCCTCGATGTGAAGGTCACTGACAGCATTAAGTGCACAGTAATAATTACCTATAATTGATATTGTTTTTTAACTTAATATATTTCGAAGAGGGTTTACTAATTTATATATAATAACCTTTGGTTTTTGGATGTAAAGCATAGTTGGGAACATTGTGAACATAAAGATTCCAGAATTTCTTACTTATGCTTGCTATACTTTTCGCTCAGTGTATACATACATGTATAATTTCTCGCCTAGCAGACAATGCCGCCGGCCTGTCTCCAACAACAAGCTCTGGCCAGGAGGAGGCTGAGGGCGGAGTTGGGCTGGGATAAACTCACTTATTCACCTGCCCGCATGCCACCAAACTGCAGAAGCGGCAACCAGTTCGCATGAAAATGCATAATCAATCACCAGCGACAACAGAAACCAGAAAATGGAGACAGCTTGAAGCAGAAGATGGAATACCCTTGATAAAAGCTAGTGCTTATCGAGTCAGTCCCGAAATCGGGACAGAACTTTGAAAGCGTTTGCATTTTATGTTGAATATGGAACGTCGAAATAAGTACATTAATTCATTTGTTCACCATCTTTTTGTCCTTCACGCGTTCCATTAAGAATTCGGCCATCCGTTTTGGTTTTCATTTCGTTTAAAATTAGTTTGTTTCCTTGCATCATGACAGGTGAGTGTCTACAAACCAAATTTCATTGCTTTATCGGTGCGTTTCGCTAAAAGCTCTATATAAATGGACCTGCCTTAAATAAATTGACACTATGAACTTTTGACACAACTAATGGGTCAATTTATAAAATGTTAATAGTAAGAAGTCTTTATTTTTGTCAAGTGCATTATCCGTGACTTGGCATATTAGGCCGCAGTTAGGGTATTGCGCATTCCAACGCCCATTGACCGTATCATTGGTGCATCTTCATCTGACATTTCGCACGACTCGAATGTCAAGGTGCGATTGCTCGCCTTACTTGCGATATTTTCGCTTTACTTCACCGACTCCAACTTGTTAACAATTCGTGTAAAGTTGCCGCTCATTAAAAACTCATAAATCAGGGGCGGCCGGGAGGAGGGTTTTCGAATGGCAGAAGTAATTGCCGTTGCTGGTCCAGTGTCAAAATAAAGGAAAATAAAGGAACTCGTCGGCGGAAATGATCGACCACCAGGTGGTTTGTAGAGTACAGCTATATGCCAGTAGTTTCCGCATATTGGACGACTCAGATGGGTCTTTGATTAATGATAAATGTGTTCTGTGCATCCG